ATCTGTCATCCTTTGCTTCAGAAATGCTTGCTTCTTCCTTCGTGTATTTTCCCTGATTTCTTTTTTCCTATAGCAGCCCAGCCTCAGCAGCAGGGGTAGGAAGGCATGCCCCAGGTTAGGAATAGGAGTAATGGCAGGGCGAGGGGTCATGTGCTAGGAAGTAGTTTGCTGCAGCCAGCATTTCCTCTGCTTCTCTGAACAGGTAAGTGTCTTGTTTAAAGTCTCCTTTCCCGCTCATCCAAACAGATGGAGGAAAGAAATCAGGGTACTTTTTGTTAATTTTTTTTTTTCCTGAGCTGTAGCATTAAGCCAGCAAGCAGCGGCTCCATGCTCTTGCATTTCCTAAGACAGCTTGATAGAGACAGACTGGAAAAATATCAGGGTTAAGTATCAGTACAAAGTTGTTAAGCCTTGTATAGGCACAGATTCTTTGGCATCTTTGTGCCCAGAAGCAAAGCTGCCAATATGTAGGTTGCCTTTACATTTTTCCAAGTCACTTTCAGAGCTGTTGCCTGCTTATGCCTGCTGGGTGTCAAAGTTATCCACAGCCAGGTTAAGCCCTGAAGAAAACCTGAAGAATGTGATCCAAATGGTAAATTAGCAAAACAAAACAAATCAAACAAACAAAACCCACCACCACCAAAACCAAAACCAAACAAACAAAAAAAAAGAAAAACTTCCAAAATTTGAGTATTCCTTTCTGAACAGTCTGAACAGACTATTCATTCATGCAAATAGGGCACTTAGGGCATGATTTCTGTTCTACCTTCAATCTCAGGGAGGCTCCTTGCCTGGACCAGCAGACATGGGCTGTTTCTGAGGATGCTGTAAGCCCCACAGCAGCTGGCAGGGCAGGATAAGATTTCTTCCTGCTGTTCCTTTGTGTTTAGTATAACTTTCCTATAAAGCAGAGAGCTACTGTTGCTTGTAAACTTGCATCTATTTAGTCTTTTTTTATTAAAATTCTCCTTGACATCTATGTATTTCTAATCCCCTTAAAATATGGCTGACCTTTTGGTTGCTGTGATATCTACCCTTTGGCACGGAGGACCTCCTGCTCATCCTTCACGGCACACAGCTGTTTGCATCGGGCTCTCTGCTGCTGCTGCTCTGTGGTGTTCAGAGTCCTGCCCTAGTAATGCAGGGTATCACAAGTGGTGATTACCTGATTAGCTTATGCTGGGGAAGATGCTGGCTCTGAAGGGGAGATGGGTGAATGCAATGTCCCGTGATTCCTAAGAGCTCTATATTTTCCATTTAAAGATACTTAAATGCCAGAAAGAGCATTACAGGCATATGTTCAGGGAATTGACAGAATCAGGGGTTTGTAAGAACTTTTGTCCCCTTGTATTTAAAACCTGAGAAGAGGCGTGATGAGAAGAGGCGCGAGAAGCCTGCTGCTGAGCTATAAAGGCTTCTTTGTGCTGAATCATCTGGCCTAAAAAGAGCTCTGGCTCTCTCCTGCTAAGTGGCCAGTGGTGCTGGTGGACCCCACAGAAACAGCTTTTGTTAGCCAAGATTAGCTGCAGGGAGAGGTGTCTCAGTCCTTTCGCTATAACAGGCTGCAAAAGGCACTAAGGAATGAATCTGAATTTTCTTCTTTTGCTCTACCACGGAGTTTTCCACTTAAAGCTGCAGTTGTTTGGCTCTAGACCTGGGACAGAGTGCAAGTCGGTATGGGAGCAGCATGGACTTAATGTGAGTACATGTGGATGTGGCATTGTAGGGTGTTGTGGAATAGAGGGGAGGATGCTGCATCTCTGAAGTCTATACTCAGATATAACTTTTTATTACCTTGATGACAGGATAAATTAGCTGTGGGATAAATGTTCATCCCAAAAAAGTAACCTCCCAACAAAAGCAGCCATCTTCCTCTCAACATGCTCAGGCAGTCCTTGCTGTCATAGGCTTCCCACTTTGCTAGAACTTAGTCATGCCTCAGAAAGCTTTATGCAAGGGCAGGTTTTATTGGGATGGACCAGTTCAATAGCCTGTTTCTATCAGTGCCTGTAAGACCAGGCTTCCTGTGAGCCCCTGAATACTGCAGCACTCCAAAGAAACAAAAAGCCCAGGAAAAAAAGATGGTAAATTGCAGTACCCTCACATTTCCTTCACTTTAATGAAATTCAATGTGGTGCACTTACATTTGCTCCTTTGTTGTTTTTTCCAGGCAGTCTCAGGCAAAGATTGGAGACTGAGTGCTTATATCAACAGCACTCGTGGCTCTCCCACCTGAAGCTGTATTTTTCAGAGGCAGGCCTAGTATTCACCAGGATGTATCCTACCCTATAGGGCAGGTTAGGTCAGAAACATCTCCTAGTTTATTTAAAAAATTGTGCTGGACATTTTTCTGAATCTTGGTAAATACGGATGTACTTTGTATAAAGAATGTTTTCCACACCTGCTCAGGAGGAGGTTCTCTGGCCCATAAGTGGGAGCGGTGCCCAGAAGATGAGAGACTTCCTGCCCTAACACTGGATGTACCCGAAGGATTGATGAGCAGCCACAATGTAGCAAACTCAACGCAAGTCCCTCTAGGAGAGTGACTTTGTCCCCTCATAGGCAGGTGACTTCACTTTAAACCAGGACTGATTTGACTCAATCACGCTCATATTATCATACCTGCATACTCACGAGATGGATGTATCCAAGTGCCTGACCAACACGCACCAAGATGTGTGTGTCCATCTTTGCAATGACTCTGAGGATGAGGGACAGTGCCCTCATGCCCGCATCAAATTTCCTGTGTTTTTGTTAGATTGGTGACCTGTACTAGCACTGGATGTGCCGTTTGTACCCTTTAGCTTCTGGTAGAAGCTCAGAGGCCATGCCAAGCTCTGCTCCAGGGGTGGTCAGGACATGGAGCTATCTGCATGGATGCCTGTCACCAGAGCAGAAGGGTGCAAAGCCACATACTGTCCATCCTGCTCCACCTCTGGGAGTTACCAGGATTTACTCCCAGCCCTTCATTTCCTGTGTCCAGAGCAGCAGCATGCTCTGTGTGTGCTGGCATCTTGGTGAGCTTCTCATCGAGGTCCTATCAGCATCTGCCACTCCTGTAGCATCCACTTACAGTCTCCTGCCTTTGGTTCCTTCTGGTGCCTCACATGCAGCCATTGCCATTCCTTCCCCACTCCTACCAATCTTCCCATTGCTATTACTATTAGGATATTCTTCTGTCATTAGAAGACAGATAAATCTGTAAGAATCTTTTTTCTGAATGAATTGCTGTAACAGATTTTTTTTTTTTTGTGGGGGAATTTGCATTATGGACATTAAAATGCAGAAAATTGTGTACTTTTTTTTTTTAAATCAACTGCTTCAAGGGAGAAAATAAGAAATGTTTCTGAGAATAGCTTTCCATTATATGAGAAAACAGAAGCTCCATTCCTCATTCTCACACCATCTCTGTTTATTAACCCTAACTATTTTAGAAATAAAACATTTTTATATCTTTCATGTAAGCCAGGCTAACAGCATCCACATAACCATCAATGCAAGTGCAGAAGCCACATAGAAAAGGGAGGTAAAAAGCTTTTTTTTATGCTTTATTCTAAGCTCCAGAGGCCTAAGAAAACTGCCTGAAACTCTTCACAGTTCATGCATAGCACAAGGTAGACTGCATTTGAGTGTATGCAGACAACCTGGATCAGCCTCTTGGTGCATCCAACCCAAAATCTTGTTTCCAGTAGTGGCCATGACAGAATAGGCAAGAAAGACTGTAGGAATAAGACAGACACATACAGTAGCTTCCTCTTTGTATTCTCTCAGTCTATAATAATTTTCAGCGTAGTTTATATGTGTTTAGCAAGTCTTAAAGGATTTTTCTCCCAGTAGCTTGTCCTTGAACCAAATTCTAGCATCTCCAACATCCGTTGGCAAAAGCTCAATAGTGGACCTCTTGTTGCCTGAAGGGTTGCTCCTCTTATTTTAAACCTCGTCCTCATAGTTTCTTCTGATGTTCCTGAGTTCTCCCAATATCCAGAAGAAGCATGACCATAGGTTATGCTCTACCTTTTGTAACCTGGTTTGGGTCTTCCTGAGACCCAGGAGTCAGTTCTGTTATGAAAGTGCATTGTGGGTGTCTGCAAAGGGATATCAAAATGAAAATCAGTATTAGAGGCAGCATAATTTATTTCTTTGGAAATAAATACTTCAGATGATTTAGTTACAAGGTTTTTTCTCCAAATACTGATTTTCCCAATTATGCTAAGCTTGTGAGTCTGTCTTTAGAAAGACTACAAATATTTTTAGCTCTAATTTCTATCATATGGCATATCTCAAGTCTTAGCTTGTTTCTCCAGCAAACAATGTCTAGCACAGCATATTCATTTCCCACTCCACTGAGTGCATTATGATGCTGATGTCCAGCAGGTGAGTGTTTCACTGGAACGTATTTAGCAATCATTCTTTAAAGGGAAGGTATTTTTCATCCTGGATTTTTCAGACACTACATCTTATTCCATGTTTGTTGCCTATAAACTTCTCATACCCCAAGGAAAGATGTTTCTAGGGGAGCAATTGTTGATTCGGATGAACAGAAATTCTGAATGTGCATAAAACACTTCTCCAACCACAGTGTTCAGTCTGTGCAAGTCAAAACTGTTCCCACCCAGGGGTTAAGTGATGGGTGCCAGGGAGAGAACTCCCCAAGCACACAAGGAGTGTGGCAAGGACAGGTTGCAGGCTCAGCTCTGTCTGGGGCAAGCTCACTGTAAGGGCTTGAGAAAAAAAGATGTTTATGTTGCACCTGTGTTTGGGGTGAGTGATGCCCCATGAGGACTCACAGTGGCAGCCTGTGACATCCTTTCAGTGCAGGGCTCCTCTGGTTTTTCACTGGCCCTCTGCCAGGACCAGCTGGGCTCCATTTCTGTTGGAAGGGTGGTTGCTGTCACTCTGGGTCTGAAGGAAATACCATGGAGAAGGAGAAATGCAGGACCTGGGGCGACCTCGGTAATAAGGTAGCAAAGGTAATAAGGAAGCAAAGACACCCTGACAGCTGGGTCTCATTGATTTCCAACAGGTTGGCATTTATATTTTATTAATACATTTAACAGAAAACAGGTAATTAGCACTAAGATAGGTCATAAACCAGCAGCAATATAACATGGATCATACTTGATGTAACACTTACTGTCAGAAAAACTGTACATAAGCCCACAAGACACGATGCATGAAGTAAGCATGAAAGATTGCTCCCCAGGTACTGGTCCCAGGGAGCTCTCAAAACTCTGTCAGCAAATAATTTCTATGATTCAGTACACATTCTTCCTTTCCCTGTAAACAATTTGATCTGGATGTAAACCGTCAGGAAATGCTATGATGGGACAAATGCTCAGGGCTGCTCAGAGGCCATGCCAAGCTCTGCTCTAGGGGTGGTCAGGACATGGAGCTATCTGCATGGATGCCTGTCACCAGAGCAGAAGGGTGCACAGCCACATAGCTCTGCTGGGCAGGGCTCTGTAGTGTCCCTCCCTAGGACACACAGTGGTGTCCAGGACAAGCACTTTCCTCCACACTTGTTTTTATGCTTGTTTTCACCATGCTTGAATAAAAACCTCTCTGTCCTGAGCAGGAGCAAACCTCCATGCAGGTGGCCACTCAATTCCTCTGTAGGTTGAGCTGTGCTGTGAAGGGCAGGTGGACTTTAAGCCCTTCTAGTGAAGCAGGGTGGAAAATCAGATGTAGATCTATAGCAGCTTGTTTTATTTCTTTCGTACACAAAAATAAATAACTCAGTGCTGTGATGTCCTTGGGGTTAATATGAGGTTAATAGCAAGGCTGTATTACATTTTGCATCTTCCTTTCCAACTTTCAGTCTGTAGTTGATTTACTTTTTTAACTCACAAAACACAGGAGTGGCCTAGAGATACTCCTGGGACTGCAGTAGGAATCAGATAGGGACAGTGGGGCTTGGTATATTATCTCCAGTTTTAAACGATTTTATCAATTCCAGATCTGGAAATATGTATTATTTTAAAAGCATGAATCCTGGAGTGTAGAACCCCTCTTCTGCAGCCAATCTCCTTATCAGGGAACTGTGAAGTATGTCACACCTCAGATTACTTAGTAGACAATTGATCCTTGAACTTTTAGACCACCTTCTGTTTCCTCTAATATTAAGGCTCAGTCCAAGCTCATCACATTCAAAATAATTCCTGTTAAACTGCTGTGAGTGTGCTCCCGTACAGCAGCAGGCAGCTGTGGGAAGGGCAGGCTGCCTTGCAGGTTTGCCTGAACAAGGAGCCTCCAACTGCTACAGCTGGGTGGCTGCATGGCAGCAGAGTCCCCTTCCCAACCTGCTCCCTTTCACTTGTGAAACACTTGAGTCCTCTGGGACCTGCAGAAACAGGATGTACCTGATTTCCAGCATTGGGACTGCAAGAGAAACTGCTCGTGGGACACTGCGTGGGTAACACCCATAGTGGCATATTTAAAAGCCTCATCTTTGCTGCTAACTCAACCACTGCAGGAGACTCAGATTTCCTTTCTTCATTTTTCCTTGACACTAGGGCCATTAACTTCCCAACTGCTTTCTGTGTCAGTCCTAGTTTATACCAGCCTTGCCTTTCCTGGGTAATCCCTTCCTTTCACTGGCACAAGTGTCTGTACAACACTGACAGAACAGAGCAGCCACCAGAACTGGGTTAAAACGAAGCTTTCAAGAAGAGAAAAAACCATTTTTTTCATTTTAACATGGATCAGTTCCTCAATCCTGTACTTCACATTGTCAGGGGTGAGTAAAAAAAAATACAAAGGGAGACTTAAAGAGCAAATGATGTGTGCAAGGACAACCTAAACTATAAATGGATGGATGTGATCAGTCTCAGTCACTCAGCTTTAGACAATATAAAAATCCTCTTTAAGTCTTCAGGTATTTTTGTAGCCTTAAATCACTGTCTCTCTTCTCTCTGAAACAAGTTCCAAAAATGGAGAGTGGCAACAGTGGCAGAAGCAAATGGGACCAGTACTGTGAGTACGTGTATGGGGTGAGCAGCTCTTGCCCAAAAGACCAGCCTCATTCCTGGCTCCCTTAGCCAGGGACCCTGGAGGACTGACATGTCATTTTATTTTCCTGATTTCTTGCAGCTTGTGGAGACTGAAGCAGGACTCTGCTCTGCTCAAAAGAGTGAGGGTTTAGAGGCTGTGCCAAGTAATCCTAGGAGATGTGTGTCCTGGCTCGCACACATTGCTTGGACTGGAGTAAGTTTATTCCACTTTGAATTTCTACCTTCAAGATGACTCCCGAGGGGGATAAATTCTGACCTGCAGCTCATAGGGACAGAAGAAGAAAGCTCCAGCAATGTCAACCAGCCCTTCACTCCCTATATTCCCCTTATGCATCATCCACCGTCTGGATTTCTGATGGCCAAGGATGGTGGCTTTAGGCTCACTGCAGGTACATTTTAATCTTTGGCATCTGATTTTGACTCTTTGATTGGAAAACAAAAGTAAGTAGTAAGCTGTCACCTCCAAAGTGTCCTGGCCAAGTGGCCCAGGTTACCAATACTGCTAAGTACAGGTGCTGCTGCTGGGAGCAGCTCCCTGTGGGTCCTGGCAGCCAGCTAACCAGGTGCTGTTCTTTCTGAGAGGTATCACCAGACATTCCTGCTGGCATTAGGCTATGAAACACAGCCATGTGTTATCACTGAGCAGAGTGCGGTAGGAAAGTCCCTTTTCAGGTGTGGGGTGTTCAAACCAATGCAGGGGGCTGGGAGCAGCCCACAAACAACTTGACCTTCACTCCTGCACAGAGATCACACATCCAGGCTGCTCTTGGGTTTCTGAGGTGCTCTTGGTTGAGCAGGTCTATGCAGTCCTCTCCTCAGACCAATTGAAAAATGACTGCAATGTTATTATAAAACCAAGGAATAACTGAATCTTCTGGAGAGGCAGAGTCCTACAGCTCCAAAAGCAATCTAAATTTTTTAAAGGTTCCAATCACTCTCAAAGCATAAAGAAACATGATAGAGATAAATGCAGGGGAAAGTTAGAGATGTACTGCAAGGCTGCTATTTTGGAGTATGAATTTACTTTTCGATTAAAAACAAGGTCTTGGAGTTTAGGAAGAATCTGCACTTAGTTCTGGATCCTGTGCCTTTGCTGCTCCTTTTATTTACAGAATAAGTTGCAGAAAACTGTTGTTATTTTAGACATGCATATTTTTTATCTGAGCATTACTGCCTACCAGAGACTTTGATTTTTTTTTTAATGTTGGCTAATTTTGTGTTTTGAGTAGGAAGTTTCAACTTCACACCAGTGCTACACATGCTCTTCTGCTATCCAGCAGTCTGGGCAAGATAAACCTGTAACCAAGATATGCCTCCACTAATCTCTATGGCTTTTAACAAGATTCTATTATTGCTCACCTTACTGTGGATTTTGAGAAGATGTGGGGAGTAATCTTTAAAATACCTGGGATGCAGGAAAGTGTCCCTATACATCCACCCAGCCCCAGTTTTTGGTTTTGCTTTCTAACTGCTGAACAAAGCAGGGAAGGCAGAGCCAAGTGAGCTGCCTGCAGTGATCTCTGCAGGGAGCCAGCCTCTTTCCCCCCCAAAATGCATTACCCACCTCTGCTCCCATACCAGATGCCTTCCCAAATCCTCAGTCCCCTCCCAACGCTTCTCTAATGTTTGTCCTTGACCAGCCTAGAGCTCACAGGAGAGGGGACACTCATGGGCCCCACCCCTTCTCACCCACACTTACAGTGGGAGTGCCCAGGCAGCGTCAAGGCAGAAAAAGTCTGTAAAAAGCAGCAGAATTAGCAAAGTCTTGCACATCAAAGCAAGTCCTAAAGCAGGCAAAGCAGCAGCCAGGAAAGGTGGTGACCCAGTCCCAACATCTCGCCTTGTCCATCTCTCCACCTTGGCACAAGGTGGAGGCAGCGCCAGCACCCTCAGCCTGCTCCATGGCTCATCCATCGGGAGCAATGAGGAGGATTAGCACTTGGTATCAACTTGGGCATCTGCCTGCCTGCCAGGTTTGCTCTTTAAAACAGGCTGTCAAGCACAGATAGCTGTTGAATCAATGTGTGCCTGGTAGCTGTTGCTTCTGCCAGCACAGGGTGGGCTGAGCCACTGCACATCAGGAGGGATCCAGGCTATGAGAGAGAGGATGCCAGTGCTGACTCCTCAGTGCCCATATCAGATGACTGTGAGAAAGCAGTCAAACAGGAAGACTTCAGGGATGGTGTCTGCCACTGCCAGTCTCCCCTGCCAGTGCCAAACATGCGTGTTTGCTAAGCACAGAGGAGACTGGATACAGTATGGTTGGTCAGTTCTTTGAATGAGATGTGAAAGCAAGAGCCTCCTCCATGAGCCTTGACAAATCCTTTCCACGTCCTGAACAGACTATGAAAATCAGCTGACATCCAGATCACTGTCTCCTCTTCCACTGGGCAGCTTTTCATGCCCATCCCGAGGCTGCAAATTGCTGTGGATAATAGCTGTGACATTTATCCAGACCATGGCTGCTTACCCGTGCTTGCATGGAGGGCCTGGTGTTTGATGGTCCCGTTGCAGAGGTGATGTCTGGCTACTTGGAGCTCGTGTACTTGGTGACAGCCTTGGTGCCTTCAGAGACAGCATGCTTGGCCAGCTCTCCTGGGAGCAGCAGGCGCACGGCTGTCTGGATCTCCCGGGAGGTGATGGTAGAGCGCTTGTTGTAATGGGCCAGGCGGGAGGCTTCTCCAGCAATGCGCTCAAAGATGTCATTGACGAAGGAGTTCATGATGCCCATGGCCTTGGAGGAGATGCCAGTGTCAGGATGAACCTGCTTCAGCACTTTGTAGACATAGATGGAGTAGCTCTCTTTCCTGCTTTTGTGCCGCTTCTTATCGCCCTTCTTCTGGGTCTTTGTCACAGCTTTCTTGGAGCCCTTTTTGGGGGCTGAGGTTGACTTTGCTGGCTCTGGCATCCTGAGAAATCTTTCGCTGGGTGTCGGAGCTGCTTGGAGAAAACATGAAAAAAAATGGAATTCTTTTTTGATCTTCTACAGAATAATTGTATTGAAAGATGAGAGAGTCTGAGTCAGAGACAAGGAATAGCTCTGAATCTGAGACAAATACCCCATGATCCTGTGCAAGCATTTTTGAACTGCCAGCAAGAACTGCTCTGGTTTGTGTATGGCTTTCTGTTGTTCTCTGTTTAAATCCCTATAACATTGGCCTTGTCAATATTGCTGAACACAGGTCTAGTTGGTGTCTACTTAGTAAATATGAGATGGAGGGTGAACATCTTTCTGAGAAAAATATTGTAGTTCCAAAGAAAACACTGACTGCAGTATGGATTAAATTAAATCTTCCTGGAAGACTGTTCCAAGGTATCAGTGAAGCCACCTTTATATGAAACTGGTCAAAATAATTTTATGTGGTTATTACAATCTCTAATAAAACCTTTTCTCTTTGCATGTAGGTAGAAGTTTATTTTGAGGGTACTTGCATTTCTGTGGCTGTTGTTTGGCACCATGTATTCCAGTGGAACACAAAATTAATACACTTTTAAGCTAGCTAGCTGAGCTATAGAAATCTCTCATTATTCATATTAGCTAGCAAAAAATATCAGAGAGTAGAAAAGCTTAGAGGTGGTGTCAGGAATCACCTGAAAAAAACCCAGAAATGTGGATAGTAGTCAAACATCAAAGTGATTTGGGGCTACATGTTGATAGAAAGAATTGTTTCCTGCTATTTGGTTCTTTCTGCTTTTGAGTGAGCAGGTCTTCACTGGACAATTTACACCAAACGTGCCTGATCCTCGCTCTGAGTTTTTCTTCATTAGGCCACAACCTGCAGAGCCATGATCTGCAGCTGACTGCTTTCATCCAGAAGTGCAGTAACAAAAAGGTAGTATGTAAACCATCAAAAAACTGTGTGCCTCCACTACACTACAAATTTACATGTGCTTTACTACGTGGGTCAAGGGAATAACCGTGTTGCAACCTGGTAAGCTTTCAGCATCACCCCAGGGCTTGGGTTTTACCGCTCTGTGTCCCCTTTGAAGATGACCTAGGAATTTTAGTCTGCTGGCCAAGAGAGACTAGTAGAGAAAAAAGAGTTTCAGAGCTGATGGCATACAGGAAAATGGATAGAAGCAAACAGGAGAGAGAAAGCTGGGATGTAACATATGGTCTGCATGCTCAAGAGTATCAGAGAGGAACCAAAATGGTGCCTGTGCCAAAGCAACGGCTGCATGCTCAGCCCTGCCTCTCCTTCTTGGGAAGGAGTGAAACACCTGGTTTCTCCACTGTTGCCTGCATTTGCATTTAAAACTAGATGCAGCAGCACTGTTGCAACCAATCTATGCAAAGTTCCTGGTTGCTCCCTGTGGGAGCAGACATCTTTGATACCAAGGCTGGATTCATGTGCCCACATCTCAGTGGATACCACCTCCTGCTTCCAAATCATGCAAGAAACTTCCGTGGCTCCAAATCAGTATGTGAGATGATGCCTCCTGCACTGCTGGCTGCTCCGTGCCAAGAGGCACCAGTGCTGGGCTCTGGCAGCCTCATGGTCTGGCAGGCATTGGGCAAGGGGCAATGCTGAGCACTTGAAGTGGGGGTACACTCAGCTGCAAGGGCAGATTGGCATTGCTCGGGATGCCAGGGAGCAGGGAGGCAAGGCCTTCACCACAGCCCTCCAAAACACCCTCCTGTCTAGAAGCCAAAGCTGGCATCAGTGTCCTTAGCGCTGAGTTTCTGCTCCAGCAAAGCAGTTTCTTCTCCAAAGACATGATTTTCATGGGCAAAGTGTTTCACCATGCCACCTCATCCCCTTTCTTAAATTCCCCATGCATTCTTCTCAGTGGTGGCATTTGGAAGGGCTAGCGCTGGACTGCCCCAAAAGTTCTGGACAGCCTTCAAAACTCTGACACCTGCCCCCTTAAACATCACATTTTCTTCCTCTGGCGACATCACAAATTTTCTTCCTTTTTTCCTCTATTTGGGAAGCCCTACTGAGAAAAGAAATCCCCTACTGCTCTGTTTGTAGACTTGAAAATATGTCTTTTCAACGGAAAGGCATTTTTCCAAGAGAAGGGATAACTGTGCACAAGCCTCTTTTTCTTTTATGCTCATTTCCTGACAAAAACACCACAACTGAAAAATGCAAACAACTACTTCTTAGGCTTTTTAAAAAGTATGTCCTTCTAAAATATGCATTAATTCTTAAGTGCACTTGTACTGCAGCTTTTAAAAAATGAATATAGTGCCCAACAGTCACCAGAGTGATTTCATATGACTCCAGGAAAGGTCACACCTACAGGACATCTCTGTCCATTTGACTGGCTAACACCCACCCTTGGGCAGCACAGCCAGGATCTTACTCTTCTCCCATGTGCAGCCACAGTGATGCTGAAGTTCAGAAATTAGCACAAAAGCTTCGGTTTCCTTGCTTCTCTCTCCCCATTTCTTTGCAGCTGACTGTTTAACAGGTAAATAACACCTGCTTTGAAAACAGATTGTATTCCTTTTGATTTATTTGGGCAGTGTCTACCACAAAGAGCCTGAGTGCACTTACCAGGTAATAAATAAATAATGTTACAAATGATCAACGGTGTCACCAACCCTTCCGTCAACAGTGTAACGCAACCCAGAGGCAGGTGCTGCTCTGGTATGAAGACAGAAGTAGTGGAATTATTCCCAAAGTGTCCATGTGGAGAGTTTGTTGAGGAAAACACTAAGTGATCTTTAAAAAAAATGGTTTCTTTTTATGAAAATAGTTGCATCTCTTTCTTTTCCCTTAAAAAAAAAATCAAAAAAACCCCCAAAAAACAACAAAACCAAAGAAAGAGAGAGGGAGAGAGAAAGAATCTGGAGTTGTTAGGTTTTGTGTTAGGAAGTGCTGCCATCATGATTGACTTCTCTACTGTGAGGTTGACCAAGCACTGGCACAGGTTGCTCAGAGAGGTTGCAGGATATCAATCTTTGGAGATACTCAAAATCCAACTGGATGTGGCTCTGAGCAACTCACAGTCACTCACCCTGCTCTGAGCATGGACTGTACAAGATGTTTGCCTGAGGCACCCCCAACCTCATAATTTCTGTGACTTGGAGACTGCAGATGGGCAGAACACGTTTTATGGGCTGTGTTCTCTTGATGGGCGTTTCTCATGGGATACTGCAGCCAGAGACTTCCATAAGGATGCCTAAGGAGGGGAGGTGATGCTCATTTCCAGGTCCAAGCCACTGAGGTCCCTGGGACACAGGGTATGGCCATGCAAGAGAAGGCACTCTGAAGCATCATGGTGACATTTGGAAGGTTTCAGGTTTTTGAAGAAAATCTTTGGGCACATTTTTACTTTATGGCTTTGTATGCTCTGAGTCAATCAGTTATCAGTGCTGGCATTTTTTTCTTTCCTCAGAAAACCAACAACAAAACCAGTGACAGCAATTTTTCCAGCCAGTTCCAAGCAGCAGCCTGACTGCTGCCAGAAACCAGAGCAGTATGGAGCGACACATACATCTTCCTTTGTGTTGACACCCCTTTCTTCAGTATCATTAAAAGGAAAACGAACAGAAAAACATATTCAAAGATACAAATCACCACAGTCTCAGATCTGAAATGGAAAGGAGCCCTGCTGAGAAATCCCATGCTGTCTCTGTTTTCCTGAGGCCTGATATATAGTTGGAGAGAGACAGGCAGGGAAGCTCCTGCAGAATTTTTGTTCATTTTTTGCCTTGCTGCTGAGTCTGTAGGACCAATGCCAAGCTGGTGACAGCGGTGTGCATGGCTGACTATTAGCCTTCTGGACCTGTCCTCATGCAGGGGTAGAAAAAGCACTTGGATTTTCTTTCTTTCTTTGTCCTTTTGAAAGCTGTCCTTACTGTGATGAGCTCTGGGGCATCCACTGTAAATTCCTACGCCCACCAGGCTGTTCCCTTACTGTAATTTCCTAATCAACCATAAAAGATACATTTCTAAAATGAACACTTTGTTATTTTGTTTTGGTGGAAAATTAAACATTTGTAGGAAAATCTCAAGCTCTCATCTTTTGGGCATCTGATGTTCTGGTTTTTGCTAATCTTCTGATGTTCTATTTTAATCTTTGCCAGAGTAAATGAGAGCCAGTGGGTACCTGTCCCTTCAGTAGAAATGTCCAGTTCATTCTGTTCAGTTATTATCCCTTTCCTTAGTTTCTCCTATTGTATAAAAGAAAGAATACTTGGCTTTATTCCTACATGCCAAGAAATGTAGTGAAATTGGCTGATGCTTTTTTTTTTTTAATTTCTCTGAAACACAAAGAAGGGCAATTAATTAGGAAATGTTTCCACCAAAAGGAAAAGGCTTTCCAACAGATTCATCTGCTCTGAAATGCTCATAAGATCTGGTAAATACAGTTTACAAATTACAAATGACTGTTATTGGAACAGTATATTTCTGCAAACTGCAAATCCCCTCCCTCATATAATGTGTAGCCATCTACCTGGAAGTTATTAAACAAGAATTTGCTCATCTGACAGGTATAATTATATAGTAATAGTTGAGAAAATAAGCAATATTTCGTGATTATTTGGTACCAAGCTCTGCCTTACTGAAGCAGATCAGAAGCGTGATGAGTCGCCATGAGAATTTGGGGATGATGCCTCATGTGCAAAAACTGATAGTCATATTTTGGACTGGAAAGAATTTTTCTCTTGCTATGTTGTCTAGCATGTGATCATGAGGTAATATTTGCTTTGAAGGAAAGAAGAGGAGAATTTCCTAGAATAAGGTAAACTGTTCTGAAATGCCCAATTCCAATGATGGAGGGGCACAGATGACAGTTTTGGGATCCTAGGTCTCCTTCCAGGTAATCCAGTACCAATAATAAGGCCCCGTCCCCACTTCCACATGCTCTGCTACATTGTATATGATATGAATGATAAAGTTATCATTTAAATGGCTAACTTTTAACCTGGAATACACACATGCAGTGTTCTAGTGAAGAGATTCCTGCTTGCGTATAAGACCACGAAAAGAGGTTAAAACTGAAGATGTCCCTTACTCCTTTACATAGAAAGAAATGCTACAAATTCAGTCCCTGACATAGACACACTATGTTCAAAGAAATCTTTAAATTTCTTTAGAACAAATACAAGCAGAAAAGAGCAGTGCCATACACTGGTGTCCTAACTCTTTGACTGATCCTTATCTTGCTTGTGTTAACCCATTGCCTGGGAGTTCAGTACAGGGTACTCCCTACAATAATATTTTCCCTTCTTTTCTATAATTCCCATTTATTATTTTTAGAAAACACATTTTTAAACACCAGAAAGAGCTGTCATTTCTTGTGCTACTTCTGCCCAAGTTGTAAGTACTTCTCAGGGCTGTGGGGGTATCAATCAGAGATGCTTATGTACAAAGTAAGGAGCAGGACCCTAGATTTGAGCTCTCTGCAGAGAAGATACACTGAATTCTTAAGGAAAATAAAATCTTACCCATGAGTGAAGCAGAGCAACAGAGAGACAATGTTGCAAGAAGAATGACTGTCAGAAGGCTAAATATTCAGTCCTTAGGCTGATTAAAAGAGTGTCTGAAGTCAGTGGGGATTTAACCTGGGTCTGAAACCACAAATACAATGTTTAGAGATGCTTAGCACCAACAGCCGATGTTGATTTCCATTGGAATCCAGGAGGCTCAGTACTTTATAAAAATCAGACTTCATGTTTTATCAAGGTTTTGTTACTGTTAATGAGTACTTAAAAAAGCTTTATTATCTGCTCTTTATAAGAGCACTCATTATCTACCTGATTTGAGATATCTCTGATCTACACGCTTGACCAACAGCATCTAATAAATGCAAAATTATATTTTCTCTAGATCAATACCTGTTAAACGTTTATGAGAGTTCACCCAGTTCATCTGCTACAATTACACTCCAGGCAACCTTCACACAGAGTGCCAGGGTTTCAGAGAAACCTGTAGGAGCTGGATTTTGATGATCATTGTGGGTCCCTTCCTACTCAGAATATTCTGTGATTCTGTATTATCACAAACATCCTCAGAAAGTCTTCAGCACTAATACAGTGCAACAGAGAACACAACCAGGCTCACTTCCTTCCTAGGGTTTTATCAATAAGTCAGAACCTTATACAACATAAACTTCAGCACAAGCTTCCTCTTCAAGTTTCAGAGTCATCAGGATTTGCTGCTCCTGCCACAAATTCTTTTCTGAAGCAAAAGGCTTCTGTTCCATTCCTATCCCACTTCAACTCAGCTGGACCCGCAGGGGATCAACCTGTCACAACTCTGTGTCTGGGTGTGGGGTTTAGCTCCTGTCCCTAGACTAACTCAGCAAAGTCACTCGAAGGCAGGGAGAGGTCAGAGCCTGCTGACCATGCACAGGCAGCTGAGCTACAACCGATCTGGACCAATCCTGCTGGGCAGAAGCAGCAAGACATCACAGCAGCTCCACTACTCAGAAGCATCACAAGCTCTACGTAACTTCTTGGTGGTTTGCAAAGTAAAGACAATTGGAGATGGGTGTGAGAACAAAAATCATAGGTGACTAACAAAAGAAAGGTGTTTTACTTATTCCATTACACCCTATGCTATTGAAAATAAAAAGTGCAGATTTCAAATAAATTGCTCTGTGCCATATAAGAAATGAAAATCACTTGATCTTTAACCACATCATTTCAATTCCTCTGGAAAAGCAGAAGAGCACAAAATCACTTAGTCTGCTATATCTAAAGAACTCCTTCTAAAATGGAACCATGGTCTCTAAACTACTAATGATAATAAGCCTAAAGAACTGCTATGGCCTTTAAGCAAACTATTTTTATGCATTTTATGAAGTAATGGAGAATTATCAAAATTCTAGACCATCTTCATCAGTGCTGAAAAAGGCATCCACTAAAAATGTGCTAATTCAGCCATTCAGGCAAAAATATGAGAGAAGCTACAGCCCAGCACCTGCAGGCCGTAAGGGGAGAGTGGGTGGGAGAGGGAGAAGAAGCTGCCCCAGATGATAGCTGCTTCCAAGTTAAAGTAGGAGTTGTGTTGAAACCAATGCAGACATATGTGGCACCTCTTCCTCCCACACACCTCATATCCAGGTTTTAATAGGTTTCTGTGACCTTTTCCAACGCCACAGATCATTTATGTAGCAAAAAGAAACAAAAGCTCAGATAGTACCCCAAAATCTGTACTCTGGCCAAACTATATTGACTGGGAATAATATGTTCAGATATAAACCCATGATGAAGTGGAAAGCTACGTGCCCAAATTGGACTGAAGATCAGACTAAGGGCATTAAGGCTTTTGAGTGATGTGATAGGTACATCACAATGTAGGTGTTACCATGTATTCTCAATGGCATGGGTGAAATAAACCCAGCAAAGCTTTTTAACAACCTTCATGGGATATACATGGGTCTAATGCATGTCTGCTCAACAGACAGGGGCAATATCAACAGATCTCCCCCTACATGGGGAGAAAGTGCCACTTGAGGACATGATGTGTGCAGCGGTAATCAATCATGACCAACATTCCCTCAAAAAGAGTCTCTCACTTCAATCATCATTTTCCAGTTACTCACATTTCAGCAAGTCCAGAAAATTATGTAAGAAAAAATAGCAGAAATCACGCAATTACCAAAAAAGTCAGGAATATGTGAAAACTGCTTTGTCATGGCTATAAAGCCTGGGTGCCTAGGAACACAGAGTGTAAACACAGGAGGTGGGGGTACCACACAGGTACATTCAAAAGGACTGCATGCCATGCCACAAGCCAAAGGGCAGCAAGTGGCACAGCATCTGATTTCAATGCTACAGAATACTGAAAATATTGTAATGTATGTATTAATAATTAATTTGGCATTGTAAAAGCAATTTTACTGTAAAACAGAGATGTGTGACTATTACTGGAGCCTGCAGAGAAACAAAGATAAATGTCCTTCCCCAGACCTATCATCATCCAAAGACTGGATTGGGAACATGATCCAGGACTGCTGACACCTTTTTCTGCTGCTGTCACGAGATCACATTACCACAGGCAGAGAGTGCTCTGAGTGTTAGAGGTCATCTTCTGTAGGAAGCAGGAAAATGGAGAGCCTGCCAGATGCAAGGAGAGGATTGAAGTGTGGCTGGGACAGCACGGCAAAGCTTCCCTGGAAAGGCAAGCTGCCTTTTCTCCAGAAATAGACAGGAGTGAGCACTAAGGACACAAGAGTTATTGAAGGTAAAAGTAAACTCTGGAACAAGAACTGACAATAAGCCATTTTAAAATGTTCATGAATAAATTTACACTGGAGATGAGAGGGAACATTATTTATAATCTTACTCGGAAGTGGGAAGATAAAGGCAAGGGAGGGGGGGAGAAAGATGAAGAAACCGATACCTTTCATGGTTAAAAGACAAAACTTAATTTAAAAATAAAAAAAAAGATTTCTATGAGATGGCTCTGGCATAGCAAATAACTGCTCTACATTAACCAGACAATGTATTTCCATTCTATGTTGCTGTGCTACCGAAGAATTGTTATCAAAATGCACAGACGTCCTTCGCTTTCTACTTCTCTTTTCTTTATTCTTTTATTTATTGTTCCTTCCTTCATTTTCTCACACCCATTACAAGTGCCAGGAGGTTCAAAGCCCCAGCAGGTTTGCTACCACTTGGTCCCATCTCACATGTGTTATTTGTACAGAGACTAATGCATTACTTGGAACAGCCACAGGCTTGAAAAGCTGGCAGTTGTTCAGAAACATAAAAAAAAAAAGGCTTTCAGGTCCGAATTAACTCAGGCCCAAATTCCACATTGTACAAATTGATTGTGAATGGTGCTTTAATTTACCTCTAATTTGTGATAGCATCATTATCACATGGAGTTAGTGTGCTACTCACAAACGCCATCTCCCTTTCAGAGAAATCAAAACGTAATTGGGGATACATTGATATTTACATCAGGCGGGGTACAAAGAGCAATCTGCTGAAGACTTGGTTGCAACCATTAGACCTGCAGTGAAGAAAATGGGGGTTGCTGGACAAAATGATTGGCCCAAAATGCCAGCGGTCCTGGATGGTCAGTACCAATTAGAACAATTAAATGTAAGGTTTGCTTTTCAAAACTCAGAAGGGTTTTCAAAGGTAGCAGGTTTAAAATATCAGTGGAGTACCATACTGTTATTTTTAACCATCCATGGCTCCATCCTCCCACATTCACTTTCCTCCTGAGGCTTCCATGCCTTTAGTCTACCCACTGCAATAATCCTAGAGTCTCCTATAGTCTCCTAAGTCTGTTTCTTTCTCAGATAATGGGCTCTCTTTTTGCTCTTCTTTCTCCCTGCTGGTGCCTCTCCCAGCATGCTTCCTTCACAGAGCTCATTAGTGCCACTGCTTTGAGAAGCACATCTTTGCAGATGACTGCTAAGTCCTCATCTTGAGTTGTGCCCCAGTCGTGAAGCAGGTGCAATCGATAAGAAGGATGACTGGAGCTAGGCTGAGGACCCACAGTGCAGGAGAGGAGATAATATGGGGTTAATTCTGGCATGTGAGAAGGAGGAGGGGGTTACAGGAAGGTTGAGACAGCTACAGCTTCCATATCTTCAAGGCAGAGGTGCTGTATCTGTGGTGCATTTTAAGACTGAAACACATCAAGAATGGAAATAACCTATATTTATATTATGTATGGTCAGAGAGCTCATTCCTGACAGGATGCTCCCCGTCTCCTGTCTTGTAGCACACCCCTTGCTTCTCTGTCAATTTCCAGGTCCCACAGAGGACCTGGAAACTTTCTGCCAACACGGCAGCAGCTTCCTTTCTCTACCCTTCCTTCACTGACATCTGCCAATGGTTAACTTCTGTCCTTTTGGTTTTCCCCTTTCCTTCCTGTTCCTTGATTCTACCTGCCTTTGTGACAGAGAAATGAGGAGACTCTTACCAAATGATTTCCCTGGCTCTCCTTCACAGTAGGTGTTTTCCTTAAGTGCTGAGCTCCAGGAGGAAGCAGAGGAAGCAGTTCCTTCCTCTCCCTCGTTTCGAGAATTCCTTCTGCAAAAAGTCACATGCTTTTCTGTCTAAGCTTTCTCACACTTTCCAGGAGGAAGGGTAATTCATGTTCTCTCGTAACTCCCAATAACCTTCCAGGAGGTGCACTTTCTGTTCCTCCTCTCCCTTCCTCCACTGCCTTCTACACACATTGTATTGCCATTTCTGTGTTTTGTTCTCATTCCTACCTTCCAGTCTTCTTTCACGTAATTTTTTCTGCTTGACAAATATCAGTCTACTACATATGATCTCTCTGCCCACAAGAGACACAGGTTATACAAACAGGTTATAAAGAGAGATTTTATGTGCCCAAAGCATGTCTAGTTTTTCTGACAAATATAAGCAAAACTTTTCCCCCTTAAATCTCCGACCACCATGGCTAAAACCCCACAGTTTCCTCTTCAACACACACCATCTGCAATGGTGCAAATTCAGAAAAAAACCTCACCCTAAGTTATAAGGCTGGTTTGAAAGGTAAAGAATCCCCACTTCAATAGGGTGAAATAATATGACAAGGGTGGTGATTAACTCTCACCACAAAGGAAAATGTTGCGTTGATGTAGGTGGCATATAAAACCCCCCGCTCTCTTTATGAGTCAGGTAAGCTGCCAGAAAGCAGAGGTGGAGTCCGTGGGATAGAGCTGTTTTCATTCCAGCCAGTCAGTAGTATGCTCTCTGAACGACAAAAAAAAATTAGTTTAATTATTAAATGATTTTTTTAAAATGAAGATTCTTATTTAAATAACAAAATTTAACATTTGCCCTGGATCCTCGATGGTGCTTGTAGTCAGTGATAGTCAAGGGGAATAATTATTAAACAACTCCACCCCCCACCCTCTGAGGTTAATGTAGTATTTTTGGTTTATGTATCTATTCTTCCATCTCCCACCCAATGAATATGATCCTGCAGTCATAGCTCTCTCCTCTCCATTTGGCTCCAAAGAAAGGGGAAGTTGAAAAGCCAAGATTCCAGTCTCACCCCATACAGAGCCCTTTTCAGAGGCAGAGCTTAGAACTGATAAGGAAAAAACATTTCTCTCCCAATAACTGCAGAAAAGTGGCTTAATGAATGTATAAAACAAAACAATTGGGGGAAAAAAAAGAAAAGCATTTTGTGAGGTCTTATTTTGGGTCAGTCCAAGATCCAAGGGATAGTTCAAAGAGATGGTAGTGTCCCTTATCTAACATTATAATATTTTCATTAAAAAAACCCTGAAATTGAGAAATGTCATTAGGTCCTTGAATTCAAGGGACTTACAGTCCTCCTCTGGTATTGCCAGTGGGAGCACAACAACTGTTCTGTTCACAGTGCAGCCTGAGCAAGATGCTTTCCTACGTACACTTCTGAATTTAGGAACGTTTCCCACACACTTAATTCTTCAGTCTACCCAATATATGTGTTGGAGGATGGGTAGGAGCAGTGTATTTCAGGTGCTGAGAAAGGGATGCAATACAATCAGACTACCAGCATAAGTAATTTCTTTGTTTCAGCTGGAGAATGGAAGACATGGAGTAGAGGACAGGTATATATATACACATATATATGTAATATATTAGTATACATATTTATTACATTATTATTTTACATATATATGTAAATGCAAGGGATGAAAAGGACAATAACAAAAGGAACAGGGTGGAGAGAAAATGTCAAGAGGAAGGTAGAGTAAGACAGTGGATGGAAGTGGGATGTCAGAAAGGAGATAGCAGGAGAGGATATAAAAAGAAAGACAGAAAGAGAGGGGGGGAAAAAAAGTTGTAAGAAGAAGATATATGAAAGGGAAAAAAAATGAGAGAAAAGCCATGAGTGGACAAAAAGCAGAGAGAGGGGGAAGGTAAAGTAACTAGCACAACGTTTGCAAGGTAGAAATACTGAAGCATAAATAAGACACAGAGAGACTCAGAGGGTCATAAGAAGAAAAAAAGACTGCATAGCAGAGAAGATGTGAAATGAGTACTAGAAAGAAAAATCACCTGCTGGTACAGCACTTCTGAGAGTCACGGGTGAGAAGTGCTGCTGTCCCAACAAGGGACAGAGCCAAACCCTAGGAAGTGACAGGCTAAACCCAAGGAGAACAAAGGATGAGGCTGGGAGAAGACAAATGATAGCCTTGTACTAGGTTGCTGCCTTTTGTCTGAAATAGAAATCACAAAGGTCATTGAAATGGCTGCTTCAATTTTACATCTGATACTTTAAAAAGACTCTTATTTTTTCCTGATACAATCATTCTTCCTCTTTCTCTCTCAACATTGGATTAAATTAATTACTGTACACTCCACAGTTACACCTCCCAGCCAGAGAAGAAAACCCCAGACACCATTATGCTTAAAGCAGACTTGCTCTCTGGCTCCCTTTGCCTATAAAGGTAGAAATGTTTCAGTAGACAAAGCTAGATTTCCAGCAGCTCCAAAATCACCATGATGGAGTTGGCTATCATTAGCAAGATGAAGAAAGAAAGAGGAAGCAAACAGGGGGGCATGCTCAGGGAAAAAGCTTTTTTGTTTTCATAATTAGGAAATCTTACCGGTATAGAGGGAAACAAATTGCTGCTGGTATATAATCTGTCACTCCTTTGCACATCGAATAATAGGAACGACAGGGAGTGTGTGGGAAGTACATTCATATTATCAAATTCTTTCTGATATTAACATGTTCAATGTAATGAAAACATAATTGGGAAAATAATATACTGTAACACAAATACTATGGAGGCTATAAAGTAAAAATCCCATGAAAATCAGTGTTCCCAGGGCAGCTCCGGTCTGAGAAACCAGAGCTTTATTAGTAGTAACAGGAGCAACATTTGGAGATGAATGAATGAAACCATGTTTGTAAATGTGATATGCAATTGCACACTCTCACTTGGCTTTCCTTTTTCACAATCTGACTCAGCCTCCCCACTCCTCCATCTTTTGATTCATGAATTCTTGATCTCAAAAATTAAAGAGTTACAAAGCCAGCACATGAAGGGCACGAGATGACGTGAAATACGAGGATACTGGTGAGCACAAAATGTCACCACCCTGCAAATAGACAAATCTGCTAGAGGTAAGCAGCAGAGTCAGGGCCACCCTCTCCAGGGGCTCACTGGAGGATGCCATGCAGCAAACCACAGCTCATCTCCATTGCGCTAGAGACGCACGCTGAGGTAGACAAATTTATTACGAAATTGTATATTGTATAATATTGCTTATGCTGCACAGCAGCCACTCCGTTAGGCAGCCCCTGCATCACTGGACCCAGAAGACTGGACGTGAGAGGAGTGAGAAATAAAAGGGTTTCTTATGGCACATACTCCCTGTATTTCTTAAGCTATGAAAAAGAGATCAAGGGTTAACGACAAGCAGCACAAAATACAACAAACAGTGCATGAGCAATGGCGTACAGCCCTATACGCTTACTAAATAATTAACAAGCGCACGTAGTGTTGACACAGGGGGGGGGCTGTATATAGGATGATCCCTTCCTTCCCTGAAGGCCAGGGCTCCAGGTGCATTCAAGCTGCAGATGGCCAGCCCAGCCCAGCCCGTGGGCACCACCGGCTCACTGTAACCGGTGCCAGAGCGTCCCAGGGCTGGTGCCCAGGCTGGGCTGTGCTGGGCTGCAGCCCCAGCCCTGCCACCGCCGTGCCTCGTCTCGGGCACGGGCTTTGCCTTCAGCCCCTGTTTCACCAGAGCGCAGCGAGCTCCGGCCAAACGATTCCTACGCTCGCAGCAAAGCACCGGCAAGGCTGAGACCGTGTGTCCGTGCACTCGCCAAGCGCGGAGCACGACGGAGCCCCTGACTCTGCGGTGCTCAGGGTCTGGCACACGGCGGGGCAGCGCTGCCCGCACACCGCATCGCGGCACAGCAGCTCGCATGCTCGGGCAGCACAGCCCCGCTGCGGGCACTGCGGTGCCCGCCGCTGCCGCACCGCAGGCGGCCAGCGCAGTGGGGAGGGTCTTGCCTGCTGGGCGTCTGGACTCCTCCGCAGGCGAGCTCCGGGCAGGTGCGCACCGGGCGCGGCGCGGGGCTGCGGGACCTCTCGCTGCCGCTCCGCGCAGAGCCGGCGGGCGCCGCGCCGGGCGGGCCGCGGCACCGGGGACCCGCCTCCGCCGCCAGTCCCCACCAGGCTGCGACCGGCGAGGCGCCTCACTCTGCGTCGCCGCCGCCGCCGCCGCGGGCCGGGCCGCACCGCCCACCGCCCGCCCGCGGCCCCGCCCGCCCCCGCCTCTGCGGGCTCCCGCCGCGAGGCCGCCGGGGGCGGGGCGGGCGCGCGGCGCGGCCCCGGCGAGCGGCTCGGGCGCTGCGGCGGCGGCGGCTGCGCGGGCGCTCGGAACGGCCGCGGCGGCGCGGACGGACGGGCACCTGCTGCCGCCTCGCCCGCAGCGGCGCCGCGCTTTGTCCGGGCGGAGCGGAGCGGGCGCGCCCGGCCCCGGTGGCGCGCGGCCCGGCCCGGCCCGGCCCGGCTCAGCGACCGGCGGCTCTCGGGGCGTCGCCTGGCTCCGGCGGCCTGGGCACGGCGGGGAGCGTGAATGAGAGTTTGCTCCGATTTCCGAGCAGGGTGAGTGCCGCACCGGCCGCCTCGGGGGAATAATAATAATAATTATAGTAATAATAACGATAATAGTAATTTTTTTTCCTGTTTGTTCGCTCCTTTCTGTATCAGCCGGGCGCAGGTCCCCGGGCCGGGCAGCGGGACCTGCTTGCCCCGCGGGCTGGGGGGCCGACGCGCCCCCTCGCTCCGGAGCAGGGCTCCTGCGGGGCGCTGCCTCTGGCCGCCCCCGGACCGGGTCCTCGGGAGGGGGTTGCTGTCCGTTGGTCCTTTGTATGCCTTTTGTTCGGCTCACCCGGGTCCGACGGGGAGGGGGTGGACTGGGGCGCTGCGGGGGAGCCACTGGAGGTCTCGGCCGGTGGCCCAGCTCTCCGGGCCTTTGCGGGAATCGGGAGACTGTCCTCGTGGGCGCAGGGAGTGTCCGGCTGCCTCTCTCCCTGCTTCCCGGGCGGAGGAGCGGCCCTGCTCTCCTCCCCGCGCCCCTCCGGCACGGAGCAGCTGCCCTGGGCTGCGGGGACAGGCGGTGGCATCGCCGCCACCGGCTGTAGTTAACACAGCGCACGGGGCGGCGGAGAACCCGGTAAAGGCCACATCCCTGTGTGCACACGCAGCCCGTCCCAGGTGGGCTCCCCAGTTGTTGTCCTGGGGACCGTGTGGTGACTGCTGGTCCCTGTCCCCGCGGTGCCGTGCCACTCGCTCTGGGCACGGCGGTGTTTCCTACGGCTGCGTGCGGGGATCTCCCTTGGCGAGGGGGAAGCGGTGCGAGCTGCGTCGCCCCCTCCTTTACCTCCTGCCGCTGCCGGCCGGGTTTGCGCTGGGTGTCATCCTATTTGGCTTCCCATTTGGCAGTAAGAGCTGGGAACGCAGGTTATGTTGTGGGGTTTGTTTCATGAGCGGTAGCTGAGCCTAGCTGAGTTAGGGGCTAACCACATGTTAAATAGCAGCCGGCAATGTACTGATCCCTCAGAGCATGCAGTATCTGGATGCCTCTTAATGTGGGGCAAATGAAGCACGGGAGTGTTGGAGTAGGACCAGAGAAATGCTGCTGGAGAGCTTACTTTCAAGGAGACTGAGAGGATGGCAGAGCCGTGGTAAATGGCTGTTCGACAGTCAGGTCAATAGATGTGCACTTATTTTGTGGACCTCCTGCATGCTTCTGTGGGTCGTTGCTGAGCTTAAAAGCACGTATGGGGTGAATGGGAAATGACAGCTTTTTGTCATGTTTTTGTGTTGTGCTTCATTACTGGAGCGTTTCAGATTGAGTAGATGTGGTACTGTTAAGCTTGTGTGAATGTGGAATGAATGATGGACAAGTTTTTGGGTATCACATTTCCAGTGGCAGTTGAGATGTGGGTGGGGAGAGGAAATATTTAATAAAGACCTAGGGCTCCCAGGTCCCCGTGCTCTGACAGCATCCTGCCTTAGCTTTTAACATGTGATAAATAGTTTCATTCCTCAGAATTAGAAATTAAGCTTAACTTTTTATTTTTTAATGTCATATTTAGTTATCAAATACCATATCTAGTTGTTCAGAAAGGGAGGGCTTTTTTTAGTCCTAGTCTGTGTTCTTCTGAAGCTGACATTTGAGATACTAGCTCTGAAATGGATAAAATATAAAATTGGTGGTCTTATGACACCAAATTGTGCAAAGTTCCATGAAAGCCCAAGTTATGTTTCAGTGTTTCTCTTATGGTGGCCACAAGAATTTTTGGCTCATCCCTCTGCCCTAATAAAGGCAATTTTGGGCTGAGATGCCAGACTGAACTGAAGATGAACCATGTCGTGCTTCCTGCTCTACAGGTAAGCACTTTGGAGCTGGTTTTGTCTGGTAGTAGGTGGGACTAACCTGAGCTAAAGTATCAGACTGATGGGTTTGGTTTATTTTTTTCTCGTTTAACTGTGGCACTGTTGAGACCTGATCTACTCAGCATGTCCTTGGTCAGGAGTTGACTGTCAAGCGGCATGGGGTAGCCTGCTGTTGTTTGGATGTGTACGTGCCACTCCTTGGCATGGTATGTCTTCTGCTCCGAGTGAAGGCATCAGTCAGGCTTTGACCTCCTGCCTGATGCCTTGCGAACATCATCGCTGTGGCCTGGTGACCTGACGTCAGCGCCTGTAGGGGTGGGAGGAATTAAGGGCAGCAGCTGGGAAAAGCCTGTCCTGGCTCTGCTTTTCTGTGGGACGTGGTTTCAGAGAGATTCGTAGAAGGGAGTTCACAACTGAGAAGGCAAAATCAGGGGGCTGACTGGCAGCCCTGCTGTCTTCCTGGCTGGAAACTAATTCCTTGTGGTTTACAGAAGCAGAAGCTATTCCCTGGTCTTATGCCTTCTCTTCCCAGTGTGTGATATTCAAAGCTTATAGGAACAGAAGTTTATTATTAGAGTGAATGGCTGAGGCAATGTAGCATACCAAAGAGATTCAGTATTGTTTGAAACCTGGGAAAAAAACCCCAGCTGGATTATTTTATTTTGGTAGTGGAACCTTTGCAGTGTCTGAGAAGTGATCAGTGCTGCTGTTGAAGGTGGGGTACACATCTGGGGTATGAAACATTGTGGATACATGTGATACTACATAGTCTTCAGCATAATTC